GAGTCTTTTCAGAATGTGACACTAGTCTTTATAAATACTCTTGAGGTGAGAAAATTATCTTAAATTGCTACCAAACTATTGGAACAATTTTAAGATACATTTTCAATATTAAATTATATGGTAAATCACAAATATGATCAATGTTTGGATAATTTGAAATCAAACTAGTACCATTCTTTGGATGGACACTATGGGGGTGCTATAACATTTCTTACTCGTAATCATACTCATGGACCTAAACTCTAGTTTCATAGATCAAAATCTAATATTTAAAGATACCTAAGTCAATCTTGAGACTTTTCTTTAAGTAGGACAGATTCAATCAGGTGGCCAATCACACCTAAACAAAAAGATTGATGGTGACTCTTTTTGTCTATGTCTAGCAGTATATTCATGAATCTATATGTTATGACAGTCCCATTAAAGTTTAAATCCTAAATCCTAAATCTAAATCCAAAACCTTAAACCCTAACCCTAAACTAAAAATCCAAAACCTAAACCCTAACCCTAAACTTTGAAACCCTAGACTAAGCCTTAGCTCCAAACCAAAACCCTTAACCCTAAATTTAAAACCTAACCCTTAACCCTAAACCCTATACCTAAACCAACATAAACCCTAAAACCAATCAAGCATTTGCATTTTATTTTATCTTGTCATCACATGTATTTTTATAATATCATGCATTCTTACTTTGTCATTTATATTATAATGTCATGCATTCATCATATTTTATTATGGTCATGCATCTCATGTATTGTTTTTTTTTAATTGTTTTTTTTTTCAAAAATGTTCTAAGGTAAGATAATATCTCAATTAAATATAGTCATCGAGATCTTGCCTAATTATAGGGGGACTCTCAGTGATTATTATTTAAAAGAGTTATTATCTCAGTTTTATAAAGTAATTTGAAAACCTTTAAATTAAGAATATTTTTGAACTCTACCTAATTATAGGAGAGTAGAAAAAGTATTTCAATATTTAAAGTATTTTTATCTTGATCCAAAAATTATGTTTTAAATTTGATTTGTTTTTGTTTTAAAAAAAAAGAAAAACAAAATTAATTTTAAACATTAAGTAAATAGAACCATTTTAATTAAAACTAAAGGATAACATGCAATCAATTGGTATCGTTTTCGACTAGCGCTGTGGGAGTACTAATCCTTCCCCATGCATAATTGACTCTTAAACTCAACTCTAATTTTGCGATAGGCCTTTATGAAGGCAATTTCTTGAACTAGACCTTTTTGTCGAAGTTGGCCTTTATGAAGATAATTTATGGAGATGAGCTCTTTGGATAAGGTGGCCAAGCTAAGGCTTTATGAAGGCAATTGTCGAGATAAGCTTTTTGTTGAATTTGGCCTTTATGAAGGCAGTTTCTTGAACAAGACCTTTTATTGAAGTGGGCTTTTATAAAGGCAAATTGTGAAGATGAGCTCTTTTGCTAAGCTAGGCCTTTATGAAGATAAGTTGTCTAGATTAACTTTTTGGTCAAGGTTTTAGGAAGGCAATTTGCTAAGCTAGGCCTTCATGAAGGTAATTTGTCAAGATGAGCACTTTGGCTAAGGTGGTCAAGCTAAGCCTTTATGAAGGTAATTGCTGAAATTAGCTTTTTTACCGAGCCTTTTTACAAAGCTTATCCACTTTTGTACTATCACATATTATCGTAGTAAAGCTCATTCACTTTCGTTGCTTCAATATTGAATCTTATTACATGATATTGCTCCCTGTAACAACATATTAACAAAATAAATCTAGTTGATTAAAAGTATTAGAAATACCATCATTGGTTTCAATTACGAGGCATTTGAAAGCTAAAGTTAAGAGCAGTCGTCGATCTTTTCTTTTCTCTTTCCTTAGGTTAGCCACCACATTGGTTGTAACCAGGCAACCACCATAGTTTCTGTCAAACTAGGTGTTAGATATTTTTGTTGCTGTGGAATTACCTCCCTTTTCTACTACTCTTTTTCGTGATGCCATTTCGAACTTAGCAAAGAAAAGCCCTTACTTAATGCATGAAAATGTTGGTGCTAAGCTCAGATTGAAGGGTAAGAACCTAAAGTCACAAGCACGAGGTCAGTTAGGAGTAAAAACTGGAGTTGTCTTTAACGTTTGTATTTCAATGCTCAAGTCAATGAGATAGAGGAAGATAGAAAGAGCTAAAAGAGCAAATTAAGAAATGAGAGAGTTTAGAGGAATATTTATATTTGAATGATTGGTGACCTACTAGGTTGGCATTGGTGAAGTATGTTGCAAGAAATCAGATCGGTTTTGTCATGTCATTTTGGCCTTCCATGTCAACTCAAATCAAATAATCAAAATAACCCTGAGCCAACTATAAGTTAGGTTTTTTGATAAAAAATAATTATATCTTTATGAACATAAAATGCCTTTAATAATATTAAAGTTAGGATTTGAAAATTACAGGCTCATAATAACTTATCCACATAATATTTTGTCAACCAAATAAGTAAAAAAAAAAAAAAATTCAAGAATAGATTAAAAAAAATTTTATTTTAAATCTGAATTCCAACCCCTGTTTATTTTCTCTTTAAACAAAAAAAAAAAAAAAAAAACAAAACTTATGCCTTAACTCTGAAGTGAAGAAATTTCTTTCTTTCCTTTTGTTTGCCTTTGTTTTTTTTGTTTTTTTTTTTTAACTGGTTCATTGGGAGAGAGATGGGGATGTAGGAAGTGAAAAATATCGGCTTTGCATGTACATGTCAGCATGTTCCTAAGCTATCAAGTTGGGGTCAGCCATGGGGGGCATCGTGGTGGGTCAGCCCCTCATGCCCTTCACGTGCACCACCGGCCCGCGCCTATCTCCTTGTTGGCTCGATCTGTCTCGAACCACTGTTCCCAGTGTGGTCCAATACTGCCACTTCTCCTAACACAAGGTTTATCTTCTATCACTATCAACAGTGGACAATGGAGACCCCTTTCGCCCGGTATCCATTGGGTACGGTTCCAGCTTCTTGGTTTATAATTGTACCTATGGGCAGGGCGACCATGACTTTTTTAAAATATATGCTTTAAAGTTACAAAGTAAGAGATACTCTTTCTCAATCGCATAAATCTCATCATTTTTAAACGGTTCACGCTCAAAATAATCCAAGAATTTGGCCAAAGAAATTAGCCACAAAGTCCAAATTAGACTCATCTCAAGTAATTAATTTTAAATTGGATTAAAATCGATTAATTAGTAATTGATTAATAAGTTAAAGGAATGGATAAGTTAGAAGCCAATTAGGTCAAAAGCCTTGAAAACCTTAGGTTAACAGAGGACTGTGTTGGTTTAACCCGACAGAAGAAAGAGTTTAAATCAAACGAGATTACGATAAATTTAAAATTTAACTCAAATGAATTACTTATTTTCTTTAAAAAGTGATTTTTAGTAACAATATTGAGGCTGGACACCTAGCACTGGTAAATTTTCCATCCTCAATTTCTCTTAAACCTTTACCTCTTATGTTTCAAAAAAAAAAAAAAAAAAAGGAAAGTTCAGCATAAGTGGGTAGTTAGTGACGGTTACCAACATTTTCATGTTTTATGCTAAGAATATTCAACACAAGAATAAAGATAAAGACTAAAATTAAGAGATTAAGAAGAATTCAACGTGATTAAATTCTTAATGATCTAAGACGTTGTTGAGTGAGATCGGTGCTAAAAACATTCAGTAAATGGTGAAGATACTTCAGATTTTCATCCAGGGCAGTTATCAGTTTAAGTAAGAAAGTATTTTGGTTGAAGGTAAAAAATCTGGAACAGTTGAAACTGAAATTCGACTGACAATTACATGGAATGGAAAGCAGCCTGTGGAGTAGTTTTTATCCATTATTAAGCACATAAAGACAAAAGAATTGATGAGCAGTAGTCGGCTTAATAACATTTTTAAATTTTATTTTTTCTTTCATTTATAAATATGAGTTCAAAAGTGTAAAATAGGTTACAGACACCCATAATACAATGCAATTACACTTACCTTACAGTTTTATTTCAATTTATTTTGTCTTAACTTTTGGTATATTATCTTTACTTTTCATGTACATAAAGTAGTTCTTATTTAATAAAATTATTAAGTTTCCTTCGTGTCCCACATTCATTGTCTTGACGGAGGTGTTAAAGATAAGAATCTTTTAATCTTGGAATGGTTAAATCACCATAAGATCTTCTTTAACAAATCAATAACACAAACTCAAGATCTTCAAATTGAAATTTTAAGTACCTAATCTTTTGACGTTCTCTTAAAGATCTTGGGACCATAATACATGACTAAAATTTGTACAATATTCTATGAGCTAAATTATTTTTTTTTAATTTCATGATTAGAAAATATTTCTTATACTAAAATTTCATGAGCATTTACTATATGAAATAATAAAAGAGCTCAAGATTTCAGAAGCCACTGTTCGGTACAAATTAACTAGTGCATAGCAACTTTATTAGATGGCTAGTGCTTCGCAAAATAGAAATTCTATTAACAATAGAAGGCCCTAAACTCATCCTTAATTCTGTAAGCCACTGTTCGATACAAATTAACTAGTGCGTAGCAACTTCAATTAGATGGCTAGTGCTTCACAAAATAGAAATTCTATTAACAATAGAAGGCCCTAAACTCATCCTTAATTCTGTGTAAATATGTCAATTTACTTTTCTAATTCCAATGGTGTAAAAAGATAATGATTTTTGAAATGCAAATCTCCATCCATCAGGTCCTACAGAACAAAACCAAAACATCCATTCACTCATATGTAATGAGGAGAAAATTTATATGAAGTTTTTTAGGTAAAATTTATGAATTTTTTTAAATGATTTAATAAAAACTTTAATAAAAAAATCTAAGCCGATAGATTGATAAAATTTAATATGAAAATCAATTATATGTAAAAATATTATTTAAAATATTATTTATAATTCAAATTTAATCGATAATTGTTCAACAGTAAAAATTTTGTTAATATTTTTACTAAAAAATGCAATGAATGGATTAATGTTCTAAAACATAGAATAATTTCCAAATCCAGAGAGTCATTCATACAAAATTCCAGATAATTTTCATTCATTAGAAAATAGTGGATTATAATTCAACATCGTAAATAGTAAACTTGATTTATTGATCAACGACATACTTCACATTTTGATTAATTTGCATATATCATCTAGGGATAATCTGTCGTGATCTGTAGTCAATATTCTTACATTATTCCATTTGTGTGAATTTGATCAAAATTACTCTATCATGAGCAGGATACTCTAATGAGAAGATCAAAATAAAATTGTAGAATGGAATGCCTAAATAATCAATATATTCTAAACCCTAGCATGCATTTATATGTATGAAAGGTTACAAAGAAGAAACTCAATATGCTAATCAGCTTTCCCCTCTTTCATGCAACCTGAAGCTGCAATCAATGTATGGAAGAAGGTTTACTCATAAAAATTCCTCAAGGGAAATATCTGTTGGAACCTCATATCCAAAAACCATAGAGTAATCATCCAACTCATCAGAGGTAAACTTTGGCATTCTCCAGCTCTTTTCAACATCAGAGTCATGGCCAGTCATTAGAAGCTCCAAGACCTGAGTAAGTGGCAGCATTTAATCACATTAAATGCCCTACCTCTATGAAATTACTTGAAAAATTCTACCAAATACATATTTTGAGTACCTCACTCATTGATGGACGCCATATCGCTGATTGCCTCACACAATAGCAAGCTGTTAGCACTGATCTATGCAATTGATCCTCATCACATTTACCTTTCAGTTTCGGATCAGCTAGTTCAGTGATATTCCCAGATTCCATAAGAGGCTTTGCCTATAAATGAAAATCATTTCAGTACGAAACTGGATGGTTAAACAGTTTTGCATTATGGCCTAGAGCAGCTTATGCAACCAAACTAATGTCTACTAACAATGGAAACAGATTTGTGTCTTTGCAGAAATTCCTACCTATTCTTTTTCATTTTTCCTTTCTATTATTCTTTACTCAAATTCCATAGATGATTGGCATCCTAAACTGGAAAACTATGATACTTACTACTTACGTATGTAAGTTTCTCTAAGACAGGATATTCATTTCAAAAGCTTGGAAGTCTGCATAGCGCATACCCATAAGAGGAGGTTTTGCTTTGATGAATCCACCGGCCGGCGACCAGTAATGATCTCCAGGAGTAGAACCCCAAATGCAAAAACATCTGTTTTCTCATTCACAATTCCATGCATGAAATACTCAGGTGCTAGGTACCCGAATGTTCCCTCTATTGGGATCACAGCATGGTGAGTCCATTTGTTAGGAAGCCATTTTGCAAGACCAAAATCGGTGATCTACAAAGAGATGAAATCATAGTTACATTCAGAAAAACAACTCATATATTGTACTTTTGCAAAACATTTCTGAAAATTGTCTGTTGATTCACCTGTGGTTCACAATCCGGTCCAAGAAGGACATTAGAGGATTTTATGTCACGGTGTATTATTCGGTGTTTGCAACTTTTGTGCAGATAATGAAGACCTCTAGCAACTCCAAGGGCAATCTTGTATCTCATAGGCCAATCGAGTAACACACTTGTTTTACCTGAGGAGTCTCTCAATTGAAATAGTTCCAATTAAGAAGCAAGGCTTTTTGATGGGTGGAAAAGTATGCATTTCTTTTACACCATGCTGTATTTAAGTTTAATTTTCCAATTCATTTTTTTAAAAAAATAGAATCTCTTATCCATATTTGTCATTCTGCATTTTATCAAGAATAGGCAGTTGCTCTTCTTACCATGCAATGCAGATGCCAGAGTTCCCTTCTCAGAGAAGTTGAAAATCAAATACAGTCCATTTTCGATGCAACAGCCAACTAAATTTGCAGTATTAGGGTGGCGTACATGTCCTATTATGCCCAATTCTGTGAGGAATTCTTTCTCCTTGTTTTCATCCTTGTTGTCCTTGGCCAACCTCTTCACTGCAACAGCTCTTCCATCAGAAAGATCTCCCCTGTACACTTCTGAATGCCCACCTCGACCAACTATATTATCTGATACCCAAAAAACATTCAGAGGATTTATAAGAATATTGAGTTTAAAGTTTAAACATCAACATTTCGTAGACAGATGGAGTACTGTTTTTGAGAAGTAATTGCATTTTCATTTTTACCGGGATGGAAGTTATTTGTAGCATTTGAGATCTCCTCATAGCTAAAGCACTTCATCAAAGGCTGCTTCTTTTCTTTGTAGGATATACTAGCCTTTCTTTTTCTAAGTGGGGAACTAAAGAATGATGAGATAAATTTGTAAGTTGAAATCCGTTTCTTTGTGCAGGATTGCCCTTTAAACTTTGGCGCCTGAGGAGGGGAGCCAGACATTGTTGAGTCCCCAAAGCTAGAGCTATCATCTTCTGTGCTATTTAATTCTGCTTCAAGTGCATCTAGAACAGTTCTTGGTGAAGGCTTTTGCACCTTTCTTTTGGAGACAAGGGAATTTTGAACATGGGAGATAGCCGCCTCGCCACTGCGATTACTCTTGTTAGACCATCTTGAACTCCATTGATGAGTTTCTGCAGAACCAAAACTTTAGAAAGAAAGAAATTAAGGAAAATTTTGTATTGGTTCAAGTGTTACTTGGAAGTACCACTAACCATCAAAATGTGCAGAAGTAGAATTTGAGCTTGAGTTTTGCTGTGGTTGCCTAGGCTTCCCTATTGAAACCACTGTACAGCCTCCCGGGGCATGCTCGAAACAGTATCTGGTAAGTTTGTGTGAAGTTCTGACCCAAAAGAAAAAAAAAGTAAAAGAAAAATCAAACATCGCAGAACATATAAGAATAGAATTTAAAATATCCAAGGATTGTTTGATTTCTCACCTTTTTGAACGGTCTCTGGAGCCACGAAGAAGAAGAAAATCAGCTGAGATTGATTTGGCTTCCTCAATTAGGCCCTTTCTAACACTCGAGCTAATTCCTACTTTTGCCTCCAAGTTTATCTGAACAAGGTGGATGACCATCTTATAATTAAAATGTTCAAAACACAGATAACAGAATATGTTGTGGCAGCTGGTTAAACTATGTGCAGAATTAAACTAAAATTTTGTTTTTTTTTTTTTTTTTTTTGTGTACACCAAATGAAAATCTGAAATTTTATTACCTGCTTAGACTGGCAGTTCCTTGCAAATTCTCCAAGCACAGATATAACATGAGCTTTTGCCTGGCGAAATTTTGCCTGATTTTTTGTTACCAATTTACGCTTCTTGGACTCCTCACCAACTGCATTTTAATAAATATGCCAAAGATTTTAAACTTAAATCATGGTAGACATGATGAATAAATTGATTCAAATTTCACTTCAAATGCGATTCATTCAATAGCTGAAAGACTCTCTCAACTATTCAAAAAAAAATAAAAAACTAAAAACAGACAAGTAACTTGGACAGGCAACTGGAGCAAAGCCTGACGTAATGAGATTTTGGTTCAGCCATCATTGAGTTGACATACTGAAAAATAATAAGCAGCTGGCATTAAACTTTGATGTAAGTTACGAAAGTACTAACGAAGAACATGTAGGGCAACAATGTTGTCATTTGGATGAGCTAGAAATTTGATTGCCCATGACAAGAGTTCCTTGCTGTCATCTGGGTCTAATGAGATGCCAATGAGTATTTTCGCAGGAGCTGAAGTCACCATTTCGCCACACAAGGTAGCCGACAGGTTTCAACGCAACAGAATATATACAGGGAGACTATATATGGTGATTTATTGTTATTATTATTATTATGATATTCGACAATAAAAGCCTGGGAAAACTCAGCTTAAGAACATGTATAGACGTAACAGCTTGATTAAGATCAGTTAGAGAGTGAGGCGACATTGGTTCTCATTGTATTATTCTTTCTAAAAAAGCATAAAAACTTTTTAGAATGGCAAGAGAAATGTGATTAATCTCTTTTTCTCTCTCTCTCTCTCTCTAATTTTTTGAAGAGTTTTAGAATAGAATTAAATAAACTTTGAAATTTATATATTTTATCATATAAAATATTAATAATTCGTATATTTATGTCATATTATATAAAAAAATTATATATTATATTTTGTCTAAATACAAAAAATATAAAATATTTTTTTTATTAAATTCATATATAATTTTTATTAAAATCTTAATTTATCTCACTTTCATATTTTTATATAATTTTTATATTTTGTGTCTAATAAATTGTTATTAATAAAATTAAATGAGACGGTTGGGTGCTTTGGTGTATAAGCAAAGGTGGTGGGCATTGGAGTTTGATTTGTCTTGTTATGTAAGCCAAAGATCAAAACTAGTAAAATGAAAATGCTACTTTGCTGGGATTTGGTAGTAGGGTCACTTTATCATGAATGAAACGTTGAGAGGACACTAACGCTTTTCAACCACTCCCCTAGATAAGATAGATAGAGAGAGAGATTGATTTCCAATGATGGGACTTGCTTGGCTAGATTCATAATTCCTACAATAATGGGAAGTTGCTAGTTTTGTCTCATAAGAGTATAACAATGCAAAGCTTGGTACAAAAGAAAGCCATACCACTAGCAACATTATGACTTTGAATTCATATAATTATAAGTAATACAAAAGCCATTGAATTACTTTGTAAATACAATTCATTCAGAGAACGAAACATTTACATCATTAGTGATTATACATTTCATTCCCTATGTCTTTTCCAAAATGAAGACAACGACTCCTATTATTCTCTTCGAATTTTAATTTCAGAACCTTTAAGATATTTACATATTTTGGCTTCAAAAGTAATATATAGCTCAATATAGATCTTGCTATTCAGACAGATTATCTAAATTGAAGCGTGAAGATTAAGACAAACTCTTTTTTCTATTTTCTTTGTTCTCCTCTTTTGACAAATAAAAGCCATTAGAAAACTAGTCACCAATCCAGAGCAGAAATGTGCTTAATTACAGAGTTTGTTATTCCTTAAATATTTCATAAAACCGAAAATCCAACACACACTCCATCATTGTTTTCTTCTGCTTGGCGGCATTTATAGCAGGCTGCACAGAACATGGACCATCAGATTTGCATCGTGTACAAGTGAAATATGTTTTGTCCTCCTTCAGCTAGTAGCCTCAACTTCAATTCCAAGCTTTATTTATGGCGCCCTTTTCTTTTCCAATTCTTGACCCGCATGGCATATCGGAAATTAATTAACAAAAGCAGGAGACCTGGCAAGAAAAAAATTCAAAGTGATCTCATGGGCAGGGAAGAGAACAAAGCTTTGAGTTTGGCCTAGGATTATCAAAGTTACCATATTTCCATACAGACCCTAGGAATTTTTCCATTTCCCTGCTGTCATTGAATATTAAGTTATTAGATTTACTGTTTGATTCACCAGATTGTGAAAATTAAGGGTACTGACAAAACAATCAACATTGCAAGAATATTTGAAGCTTCCTGGACATTTTTTGTTTGTAATAATGTGCCAATGTCCATATATATGCTAACTGGTAAACTAGGTGGACCTCGGGCACTTTGTCTGGGGGTCCCTTGGAAAAATTCAACCCACACGTTCAAGATTCGGCCTGGGGTATTCTTACATGTGCTTAGAGACCCACTTCGAGACTCAAGCTTTTGTTTTATTAGGTTCATGCATCCAGGCCTGAACTTGGGAAACACGTGATATGCGTGAAATATTTTCGGAAGGGAAAGCATTGGCATAGACCTTGCTGCACAAAGGAAGTTTAAATTCAGGCTTGATGCCTAACCTTTTAATAAGGTTTTAAATTTTGAGAGCAGTTTATCTATAATTTTTATTATAATATTATAATTAATTAATTATAATAAAAATTTATGAAAGGATCCATTATTTAAAATGTAAACTTTGTATAATATTTTTATAAACCTTATACTATATTAAATTATAATTAATTAATTATACTATAATAATTATAAATTGCATGTTCCGTTCATGTTGATCAATGATCCATCCCTTCTACGAATTTATCTAATTCTAAAATATGTTGGATTAATGATAATTTCTAACGCCTCTTAGCATTTTTTAAACAAATAAAGTAAGGATTTGTTTGACATAGCGAAGTGAGGCCAACAACGATCACAGTTAAATTGATAATGGAATGAGAATGAGATAGGCAACAATAGTATAGTTCGACTACAGTAGGGTGAGATCATCACTAAACTCTTCAACCCCAGGTGCATTTTGAGAGCCAATTGAAGAAATAAAGTAGTTGGCCTCGTCCAAATGCAAATCAATGGAGGTTGGCAGGGCCTTGGCCATGTCGGCTTCTCAATTGTTTTGGTAAACCATTCTAGTTTTTTAAATTAAAATCACAAATATTCCATGTTCCTCCCCCAACCACCCCCCCACCCCCCCGCCCACCAAATATCTACAATATGGTCTCCCATTTACAAATCCCTGTGATTGATATGTAAACCATTTGTGTTTGAAATGTAAACAATGGACAAAACTTACATGAAGTTATTTAAGTGCAATTTGTAAAATTTTTTTTAAATAATTTAATAAAAAATTTTAATTGATAAATTGATAAAATTCGATATGAAGATCTATAATATATAAAAAATTTATCAAAAATATTATTTATAATTCAAATTTGATTAATACTTATTCAACAGTAAAAATTTTATAAATATTTTTACTAAAAATATCTATTTAAAGATATATATAAATTTATTAAATTTTTTTTCAAATTTTACACACTTGATCTATGTAAAAATATTTTTTAATCTATCAGTTTTAATTTTTTATTTTAATTTTTATTTAATCATTTTTAGTAAGAAATTTTACGAATTTTATTTAAAACATTTCGTTTAAGCCTTTCCATGTAAACAATATTATGATTTTCCAACACATTTAGTTCTAAATTAATTACTAATTTGATTTCCTTGTATTCTATATTTATATATGCTTTATTAAACTTGATCGTTAACACCTCAAATTATGAATTTATCTTCTCAATTAATCATAATAATTGACAATATTTATTTTTAAGAAAACACCTTAATTAGGAAAAATATAGTTGCTGCATATTTTGTATAGGATGCCAACCCTAGATTCAATTTTCCTCTTTTTTTTTGGTTCTTTATTTCGTAACAAGCTCTCATCGTTTTTTTTTTTTTAATTTAGGAAATTATGTTATATTTTTAAACAAAACTATTATTTAGAGACTTTATTTTTTTATTTAATTCTTTACATGATATGAATAATGTTTGAAATTACTCTCTAGTCTAATAAATAATAACGTTTAAATTTGACTTTTTATAATCAAATTTTTTGAAACTTTGACTGTTGATATTTGAAATAGAGTGAGGATCTATTTACATTCGTATAAGTTTTAAATTTTTTTATTTTTATATTAAACTTAATTTATAACTAATTTGAATTAAAACTGAATAGTACGGACCGCTACTTGTTCTTTTAGTTTTATCCCTTCAAATTTCGAACTTTAGATCACATATAATAAATTTATTATATATATTTTGGTGAGGTTTTATTATATATAAATTTTGGTGAGGTCTATGTTGATCCATATATCAATTTATGATTATAAAATTTTAGATTGGAGTAATAATTTTATTACCACGATATGTAGAACAAATTGGACAGATACAGTATTTGATATAATGTTAGTATAATTGTTTTAATTTCACAAATAAAGTTAAGAGATTGATACATGATTTATTTTTTAATTAATTTTTTATTTTTTAAAAAATACCCTAAAAATATGTAGCATTCTATTAATCTCATTTATAGAATTTAAAAACCCTACTGATAGTGGATGAAATAATTTTTTTATAAAATATAAGGATAAATAATATATTTCTTAATAATAAAAGTATGATATTGTAATATAGTTTATTGTATTAATAATTCTAGAAGAGTAGTAGATAGATAAAAGTATGGTACGATTCAATAGTTGAAGATAGAGAAAGGTAATATGTTGCATTTTGTAAAATGAAATTAATAGGAAGCGTATCTTCTGCAGATGGAGAAATTATTAGATCTAATAATTTTTGCTACTAATGGGTTGCAAGTCTAAATATTTTTCCTACTAATGAGTATCTACTAATGGGGCGGCAACCTGATCCAGCTTGGAAACATTACTGCACAACGATTGACGGTAAGTCAAATCATGTGAGATGCAACTATATATAGTAGACACAGACTCGATGTCGGGACTCGGGTGTTATTAGCCGATATGAAGAACATCTTGCAAAAAAGAGAGGTCGGGGATGTACTTCGATGTCGAAGCTGCCCTCCGAGATGATGGAATTACTAATACAACAAACACTAAGAACGAGAAACAAAAGCAGAAGAGGGAATCATTGGAAAAAATGATGCATGTGGATGGTGAATCGGAAGGGTCAGCTGCAGTTCATGACAAGGAGAGGGAGGAGAAAGCTTGCAATCTTATCTAATAAAGCATTTACATGGGAAAAAAAGCTGAAATGTATGATGATGTGTATGAGGTTGCTTTCTTGAGAGTTCACGCTATTACGAGCAGGAGCAGAGGAGTCGCAGAGAGGGCTGAAGTGGAGCTAAAGCAGGGCTATCTTTCATGCCAACTATGAGACAGATTTGGACATTGACATAGAATTTTCCCCGGACTATGATAGTGAGCCGGGGTTTTAACTTTGGTTTGTGTTTATTGTTCATCTAGAAACAATTTGAACTAGATGAGTTCCTGATGTGTCATATAAGTTCGGACTAATTCCCACTAATCAATCTTGAAGGTTTTATCTTAAAAGTTAAAACAAAAAGGAATTAGATGGAGAAACGAAAACACATCAAATTAATTTGATCTTATTAGTTATCAATGTCTCAAATTCTCAATGGCTGCAAAAGTTTCATGTCAATGATTGAACAAATTAAATGAATGAATATACAAAAATGGTGATAAATCATACTCTTCTCCCACTTTTTTCAAGGAAAAACTATATATATATGTGTGTTTGTGTGTGTGTGTGTGTATCAAGCCAACCAATTTTCCCAAACCATTTCCTACTAACATATATGGAGTAGTAAATATGTGCCTGTTCATATATATCAAAAATTAAAAACCAAGACCAGTGCAATGCAATTAAACTTTCTCAAAAATGTTTGGTAAGTTTCCTATTGCCATGTCGGTTGTAAGGGTCTTGCATCGTTTGCACCTCCATGGCGCCAAATACTCCATAGCTTTCCTCTGGACCACCGTCATCGTCATCACTTGTTTGATCAAGTGCCAGTAATTCTTCCTTGTACTTGACGCTATCCATTCTCGTCTGCATCAACTTGCCTCTTCTGTCATACCCTTTTAGCATACTAACCACTTCCTTCATGTTTGGCCGCTTCTCAGGTTCACTTTGCACGCATAGAGCAGCGACATTGATGGTTTGTTTCAATTGGTTTTCATCGAAATTTCCTCGAAGCCTTGGATCAACAAGGTCTTTAAACCGCCCTTTAGCTATAAGTGGCTCTGCCCACTCGGTTATAGTCCTCTTCACACCACCAGGCAACTTTTCTATAGGCTTTCTTCCCGTGACAAGCTCAAGCAAGAGAATACCAAAACTATAAACATCGCAACTGTCAGAAACCTTTCCCCACATGGCATATTCCGGTGCAAGGTATCCTAAAGTACCCTTAACACGGGTTGTCATGTGGCTTACGCCTTCTGGGATTAATTTCGCAAAGCCAAAATCAGCAACCAGCGGTTCAAAATCTGAATCCAACAGGACATTGCTTGCTTTAATGTCTCTATGAACGATGTGGGGTGTTACCTCATGATGCAAGTACCTATAGTATAACAATAGCAGTCAGAGAATGTTTTTAACGTTTTACAGTTAAAATTTCCTCTCAGATACTTGTCAACAAATTAAACGAAACTCTACAATTCTCAAACTGAATCACTCAGAATTTAAAAGAAAGCATATACTTTTATTTGGAGGATCATTTATTTCTTTTTTCTATTATATACTAAAGTCAATAGGGAGTTAAAAATCTGAAGGAAACTGACTATATATATATATATATATATATATATATATGAATGCTTTATATACTTAACCATGCAGCAATAAATAATTCATATAACAGACGAAAGCTAAACTTACAATATGCCTTCTGCAGAACCAATCGCAATCTTCATTCTCCTTTTCCAATCTAATTGAACCTCACCAACAAATCGACCATGCAGATGAGACAGCAAGCTAAGATTGGGCATGTAATCATAAACTATGAGCCTTTGATCAGTCCCAACACAGTAACCTCTTAGACCCAAGAGATTCTTGTGCCTAACCCTTCCAAGAACTTCAACTTCCACAGCAAATTCCATTTCAGCTTTAGAAGTCACGGCTTTTAATTTCTTAACAGCTATCTGCATACGTTATTAAAGAACCAAAAACTTAGGCATAGTGGCAGAATATAAAATATTAACAACAAAAAGAAAAGGATCAAATATATATATATATATGGGTACCTGAAGACCATCATTGGTTTTACCCCAGTAAACACAGCCAAAGCCACCTTCTCCAAGCTTGTTATCGTCGCTGAAACCATTAGTAGCCGTGTACAACTCTTTGTAGGTAAACATTCTCCACGTTGTATTCCCTGGAGTAACCACAGTTATCCTACAAAAAAGAATGGCTAAAATTTTTCAGCACAATCTCAATAATAAGGAAAACATTAATACTCAAAATATACAAGATGAGTACTAATTTTTGCATACCCTTCATCAACCTTCTCCGAACTACAGCAACATAAGGTTGATCCCATAACTTTTTGGCTAATGGGAGTTGTTACCAAACTTCATTTGAGTTTCGGAATTGCTAGTTTGGCCTTTTAAACCAGGCTAAAGTTGTATCTTTAATTTCTCACATAAGGCCAGGCGCCGCCCTTGGCCGGCTTGTGTGTGCCATAACTCATAAAAAGTAGCTTCAAACGGATTTAACTAAGCGGAACATGTGTTGAATAAATGAAATTGAGTACTAAAAGAATATTGTTGTTTTTTTTTTTTAATAAATTACTTATCTATTTAACTCATCTAAACAAGAATTTGCGCATCTAAATTATCTTAAACGCACAATTTTTAAGAATATGATAACCTTGTATATCATTTGACTTAATATTATATTATTATATTTCTTTTTAATATAACAAAGAAAAATAATATAATTGTGCTTCTTCCAAGATATAATATAATATGCATCGAAGCTAGTTAGTTAGAATATATAGAATATGTAAGTTAGTTAGAATATATACAATATGCAAGCATGATTAGAGGAGTCATTACTTATTTCCATCTGTCTCATAAATATTATTTTGATTTTATTATGTCTTTTTTAGCTTTATTTTACCTTGAGTATTTAAAATAATTTATTAAATTAAGATTTTATATTTGATGTATTATTAGTATATAAAATTTATATATTATCAGTAAATTAAATGATATTATTTCATTAATGAAGTAAATCAGAGGATGTCATTTCATTAATAAATTTTTTTTTAAATATTAATTTTTATATATTTATTTTAAAAGTTGATATTTATTAATTAATGAAATGGTATCATCTGATTTATTAATGATGTATAGAGTTTATATATTAATAGTATATTAAATATAAACTCTTAAATTCAATTATAAAAAAAAAATCTATTGTCTATCACTAAATGAAATTTAACTACATCCATTATTACAACTATTCATTTTGATAAAGATGAAATTTGAACCATTTTTATGGGCATTGTGTTTGAACCATTTGGGTTATTTTAACAAGCGTTGGATTAGCACCATGTTGTGCCCTATGGTTAAGCTTACAATTTTTATTTTCTTCTTTTAAGCATAAATTTATATCCCATATATTTGTTATTATTTGATTTATTAATTTATTTCTTTTTTATAATTTTACCTGAAAAAATTTTATAATTTAATTATCTTTTTTATATTTCTTTAAGATATTTATTTGAAGATTTTTTATATTGATTGTATGTTAAAATAATTTCAATTTAAGATCATTATAACTATTATGCATGTATACATGGTTTCCAAATTTTTTTATTATTAAATTTAATTTAAATTTATGTGTTAATTATTAAATAAGAATCGCAAAATAATTTATTCAAATCGCGGCTCTAATACTAGAAAAAATAAAAATACTATATCCTTTACTTCAATACTTGGATTCTTCTTTTTTTTTTTGGCCAGTAATAATTAGAGCTTAAGATTTCATTTTTAAGTTCACAAATTTGAATCTTGGGATGAAAAAAAATAGAATTTTTGGAATAGAAGATGGTACTCATTGTGTAATCCAACAGTAAATGTACCAAAAAAATTAAAATTATTACAATATTCAAAGTTTTTGATGAATATAATCACTGTCAACCATGATCGGAACCAACTCTTTTAATCGGCACACAGGAAAATAAGTCCTAAACAACAACCAGTTCTACTAATTATAGTTAACAAAAATTTTAGTTTTCATGGTTTGAATCACTTGTACTATTTAAAGATTTTTAAGTTATAACTATGAGATGTAAATATAGTTTTACTCTTGGGAACATCCACTGTCCTAGAAACAGCAGGCCATATAATTTTAATTTTTGTCACTTTAATTTTTCTTGTTTCTTTTCGTTTTTATTTGGCCAAAGGCAAATTATCGCTGTATTATAAGTGAGTATTGAATTTTGTTATTATACTTTGATTTCATTGAATTTGGTCATTTTAGTTTCAATTTTGGACCAAAGCCATCAAAAATAGAATATTCCTTAGAATACAAAATATTTTGTCAATATTTTAAATTAAATTTTTATAAAAAAATATTATGTAGATATTTCACACGTAACAAAATGCACACAGGAGGTACCATGTGAACATTTGTTATTATTTGTTTTTATAAAATTTTATATTAAAATAAAAACTTTAAATTTTTTTTCAAAATTTAATTCTAATTTATCGAATAAATTAAAATAAACACAAAAAAGTATTGATTTGATAAATTAGAATTATTTTTTAAAATAAATTGTTTTAAATTTAATATTTAGAAAGTATTTTTTAATATAAAATTTCATAAAAATACAAATAATAACTTTTTCCAACAAGACACGTCACATGTACATTTTTGTCATATTAGGAATATCATCACCATAATTTTTTTAATATATATATTTTTTTTGTTTTATATTGAAAGTTTACTTTAAATCTATTAACAAAATATTTCATAGAATATTTTATTTATATTAGTTTTGGTCAAAAAATCATCAAAAATGAAAGTACAGTGATAAAATTAATGAAATCAAAATTAATGACAAAATTAACACTTAACTATAATACAATGATAAATACGCCCTTTTGTCCCTTTGTGTTTCTTATTGTTAGAGGTCAACACAATTTAAAAGATTCTTTTCTTTTCTTTTCTTTTTAATTTTTCGTTTCTTTATGGTGTCACCGTAAGAACTCTTTTCTAGCATTAAAATTTGGTGTTTGTTGCATGATATGCCCATAACACCAAACTAAAATATAAAACACACACACTCATATATATATATATATATATATATAGAGAGAGAGAGAGAGAGAGAGAGATATAGATAGAAATCTTGTAATCAATTGAGGATACAATTAATTATAAAACTATCTTAATTTGCTCATTTCTCTGTGTGGTGGATTTAACATTTATTTTGTTTGTATTGACTGATTTTTAAATCAGTTAATATATTATTAAAGTTGATGCTAAGAAATTACAGATTCAAAAAATTTTACGCATATAATATTTTTTTAATCAAATAAATAATAAGATATAAAATTTAAAAATAAATTAAAAACTTAAAAAAGACTAATTTATTTGCATAATAATTTTAATTGAAATTTTATCGCAATGAACTAAGCAAGCCAATTTATTGATAGTTCAGCCTCATAAATTATTTAATAAGTTCATGAAAGAAAAAAATTAATTAAATTATAACTTTGAGTAAAACTTAGGAAAATGACTGGAAATTTTGGTTTATGGCAGCAATTTCTTCATTGCATGAATTATGGCTCTTTGTCCTTCCCTAATTTGCTTGCTCATAATTCCTTTTGGTGTTCTTTTCTTCTTCTTTTTTTTTTCCAAAATAACGATAATAATCACTTAAACAACACAAACTCTTGGTCTCACATATAATACTATGTTATCCTTTTATTTTCTTTTTTGTGTTTTCTTTAAATTCTTGGTATTTGAATAATTTATAGGTTAGATTTGATATTTGATATAAACTCAAAGTGTATGGAATTATGCCACATAGCATAATTAAATAGTTAGTTAAAGTTATAATTATTAATATATCAGTTAGTTTTAAAACCGTGTGATGCACAAAAATATATTCATATATCAATAAATCTTATATAAATATAAATTTTTTTTAAATGATAATTTAAGTTATGAAATTTATAAATAACTCATAACTTATATAATTATTTTTATTTAAATTTATATATTTTAATATAATAAAATTAATTAATTACATATTGAATATACTTATACAATTATCATCAGTTCTAAAGAAAACTCAAACTATAATTTATTAAATCCAAATAATCTCTAAACAAAAGGCAATAATGTTTTCGACTTCAAGAAATTAAAAATTTTATTCTTAAAATCAATCTCATATATAAACTTTTTTCATAGGAGATTCTTCCATAAGTTGTTATTGAAGTGAAGATGCAGCAATTGATTCTCCAATATTTCTTACTATCTTAAAGTAGCTATCATTTTACTTAATGAGCCAATAGATTTCACAGATGGAAGTAAAGAGATAGATAAAATAGCAATTTGTAATTTGACAATAGTTGAATTATAATCTAAACTATATAACTTTATAACAAACATAATCATTATAATAAGCTTATACCTACCTCTTCTAATAATTTTTTACATTCAAGTTTAGAATCAAAATTTTACACTTTATTCACTGTAAGTTTGGTATTATTCTCAATATTATACTTGGTTGGCCTTGTCTTGAATGGTTGGCCTCGTCTCGAATACATAAATTTACCTCTAAGATACTCAAATATCTCTTCGATTTTATAATCTCTATTTTCATAAATCATAAGTGTAAATATATCATTCAATTAATTTGAATATTAAATAATATTAAAATATTTTTAACTCAATACCTTAACAGATATTTCATAAAGATCATCAATATATATATTAATTAAATTCTTAGCTTCTATATTGAACAATACGAACATCATCCTTTTAAAATTATCATATTTCTCAATATTTAGCTTGTACCTATGAAAAATGTATATTTCTACAATTATAAATATAATTTAATAATTTAAAATACTTTTATCATCATCATTGAAAAATAATTTTTTTATGTATCAAATATAAAAAATATAAATATTATTTACCTTGGAGTTGGATTTGGGACATCAAAATTGTAGGAATAACATTGAAATTTTTCATCAATTTCAAATAGTTTCTTGTTACACCCACATGACATACAGTACCAACAAAAAGTGGTATCATTTTTATGATAGTGACTCTACTGATGAAAAATTTTCCCTATATATACCAATCATCTTTTAAATTAATTATCAACAAAAATTTTAAAAAAAGAAAGCTAATATCATAGTTAAAGAAATATAAAATATGAAGTATAAAAGAGAATAACTTTGAGTAGCAAAGACGAAGAAACGATGCAAAGTGAAAATTAGAGAGAAAATTGAAGTAAAGTTGAGTAGTGATAAAAAAATATAAAATTAGTTAAACAAGGGTTAAAGATTGCATTAT